CCATAGACTCCGGGTCCCCCCAACTTCCCCACTCTTTCCGTCGCATTGGTCTAAGTCCTCGAGGCGGAGAGAAAGGAACCAGAGTGATGGACGGCTGCCTATGGCGTTGCCATGTGGCCTCGGTCACGTGGGTTCGTGACGTAAGGGGTAAAAGAATCTTGAGGTCATGGGCTTCCCCTGACCTAGATTCTATCTCTCTGTCACCGGCAGAATCGCTGATTAATGCCTACAGTTCAAAATAGTCATTTTGACTGACCGGAGTCTATGGTGGGTATGAACTATGTGAATAGGCGGGTTCGAAGAACCCTCGCCTAAATCTAATTGACCAAGTAGACTAGGTTTGTTTAATTACAGGAGATCCAAATAAATTATAATCAATATTATAATAATGCGTGGAATAAATTCGAGGTTAATCAACTAAAAAATTCAAAGCGCTGACTTCAATCTTGAAATAAGTGTAAACATGTGAGTTTCTCACAATGTCGGACTTCGTGAGATAATTTATGAAATCACCACGGTTTTGCCAGCATCAAAATATCTTAGTGAATTGCTGCCTTGCAAATTGGTTGGGGACATTTAAGTCTGGTCTAGAAGCATGTGCGTTGCTGAACGGAATAATTTAACGCTGCGACTCAACCAATAGAGAAACGCAAGATGTATTTTATTTTTCCATACCATTATTAGACGGCGATGACATGAAGCTGTATAAATACGTATTTCTAGTCCGTATGGAAAACCCAGAGAAACTTGCTGTAATTGGCATGATAGCTCCATTTAGTACTGTGTGGCCATGTATGGAACTCCAAGCCAGGTGGGCCACAAGAGTGTTTACTAAGAAGCTGAATTTACCGAAGAAAGAAGAGATGCTTGCGGACATTGAAACTAAGCCAAAATATAGCAGACGCTACTGTTTGGTATGTATTGTGGCTAAACAAAAAATTATAACTGATACAGATAGTATGTGATGCAACACTGAGTGTCAAACCAAAATCCTTAATAACAGATCCCACAATGCCTGGTTACATTGGTGGTACAGCTATGGCCTTTAAAGAAGGCACACGAAAGGAAGGAGGGAAGAGGAAGGGAGGATCGAAGGAAGGAATAAATGAATGAATGAACAAATGTTCATCTTTATATGATGTTCACTAGAATGTATGTGATGCCCCTTTTATCCCGATGTGAACGTAAATATATTTGATGTTTACCTTTTATCTAGTGTGAACATGATTATCTATGATATTCACATTCGTCTGATGTGAATGGCATTAATCTTTTGTCTGATGTGACGGGAATGATAGAGATATTCACCTTCATATGATATGAACGTGATTGTCAGAGATATTAAAATGTGAACATGACTTTCGTCTGATGGGAAAATGAAGATTTTGATGTGTGAATAATTTGAGTGTGAATAATTATGTTATCCACGTTCGTCTGATGTCAACGTGAATGTCTATGATATTCATGTGCACCTTCGTCATATGTGAATGTGAATGTCTTAGCGAATGTGAATGTGGTTTTCTTGTTTGCCTTTCGTTTGAGGGGGAATATAACGTCAGTGACATTCACCTTAGTCTGATGTGAACGTGAATAGTATTTACCTTCATCAGAAGTACGTGAATGTATGTCTTTCATGTTAACCGTGCCCTCCATTTGATGTGAATATGGATGCCTATGCTATTCGCCTCATGTAAATGGGAATGTAGGTGATGTTTGTGTTTACCTGACGTACACGTGAATGTGTGTGATGTTTGTGTTTGTTTGATGTGAACAGGAATGGTGTGTAAATGGGTTTCATTTTCACGTTCGTGTGATGCGAGCATAAATACGACGCTCATACTCATATGTTGCGAACTTCAGTGCGTGCGATTTTAACTCCTGTCATTATTTTTCATTCGTAGATAAACCCATATGTATACGAAGACGAGATTGCCGAATGCATTGGTGTGAAACCTTCATTCTGGAAACTGCTGCTCTCTGATCCAAAACTGGCCATGGCCGTCCAGTATGGGCCCCAACTATCTTACATGTATCGCTTGCAAGGCCCTGGGAAATGGGACGGCGCACGTGACGCCATATTAAATGCACGAGATAACACAGTGTCGCATATGGCTTCGTACAGATCATAGGACAATAAATAATATTTCCACATGCGTTTCTATTAATCAGATACTAACATATTGGAATAATATTTTGTAATAATATATCTGACCAGAGGTACATTACTTGGAGTTTGCAACACGCATAGTACTGTATGGTGACATAGTGTCAAGATCCCATTCAAGTCTCATCTCGTAGATAGCGAGACTGATGCTACGACCTTCTGACATGGCATAGGCGGTTTGTAATAAAACAATAAAACGTGTATTACCACATTTATAGTGAACAAATGTAATACATCAAAAATTTACAGAAAATATAGTTATCGTAGCTATGTTGATCCACCTGGACATCCCAGTATCCGAGTTACCTCGGGCATGCACATTCGCATTTTTCTGAGTTGGAACGCTTATGCGAGAGCGAGATTGTAACGGAATCTTGGTATCATGTTACCGTAGTTGCAAACCCCAAGTAATGTACCTTTGATCTGACTTATATTAACATTCATATATAAAGTATAGATAAATAAGTTTTTTATCGGGAATCATTATAAGCACTCGAGCTTAATGCAACTTTTGGATTCTACATACAAAAGATTCAGCCTATCACAACGCATATAATTTAGCCAATCAGATCGCTTCCTTATTGGCCTATTACAAACATGTAATATATCCTCTTCCCGCCTAAATTCAAGAATGCACCATTCCCCTATAAATTGAGAAATT